CATATATGCATTAATTTCTAAACAATAAAATATGAAGATGATGACGAGCCGACGCTGGATTTTATTTGCTTGTTACAATCTTCTTAAAATAATACAAATTGTTACAAATAAAATCCAGCGTCGGCTCGTCATCCTTTTCATATTTTATTTGTTTTTATATGAGCCTATTTTTTATTTTATTCTATTTTTGAAAATTTCGAACTCTTTTGTAGTACATTTCTCAATATATGTTTCTACAACGAGTAAGAATTTTGTAATTTTCAACAATACTAAAGCAAAGATAATATTGAAAACTTTTAATAATTACAGTATAAAATTTTAATGCTAAACAAATTTATTCGAAAATTGAAAAAAATACATCTTTTGAAAATAATAATTAATGTACGCTTCAGATATTGATGAGTTTAGAAGGAAGTGCGAAGGATATTGCAGGGCCTGTCACTATCTACCTTGCACAACTCTTTCATCTGTTTTTGCATTTTTGGCAAGCTCAATTTCTGTTGGATTACAGCGCTTTTTTTTGCGAATCTGTGTAAGAATGCAAGCTCGAATTAATCAGTAATCACTGCATTTTCTCAAATTTTTTTCCTTTTTTTCTAATCCATTGAAGAAGCTGTGAAGCAAAAAAAACATTTAATATTTCTTTATTTTTTATTTTGATATTTCTTTTTGTTTATTTTCTTTATTAATTAACAATTCTGTACCTACTACTGCGGTCTCGTTAATTCTTCTCTTACTATTATAATTTTTCATATAATATGTGCACGACAAATTAGGAGCTTTTGTAAATTTTTGGAAATGTCCTTGAAAAAGCAAAATAAAAATGCAGTAACGCAAATATTTTTTAGATTTATCGTTATTTGTGTTAGTTGATTTGTTTTCAAAATAGTTGCAGAGCAAATTGGTATTACACTTCGAGGCGATGTCAGAAACTATTTCTCTTGATCATGAATAGAATGACATTACCTTGTACAATGACCGCTGGCAAACTCATGACTCTGTCCATCGAAAACTTCGGCATGGTAAATAAGACTGTAATAATCTTTAATTTTTTTTATCGCTACAATTACTGTTTACTGAGATAAACATTTTACTTTTTTAAAGGTTGTGAGAACTTCATTGTCTTATCTCGCAGTGTTCCGTTCTTTTCGACAATAATGGTATAGTGCTACCGTTCGTTTCGTATATATATATAGTAATATTATTAGTTATATTATAGTAATATTATTAATTATATTATAGTAATATTATTTAATAAAATAAAAATATTTACTTAAGTTAAAATAGATTTCTTTCCTAAAATCAAATTCCAATTTAATGCTTTTTCTGTCCAAAAGTATACAAGGTTTGTTATGTGTTTGTTAATGATTCAGTTGATTAATAACCTGATGTTGGAAATAATAATTTTAAAAGTAGTGCATAATTGAGCTTGTAACGAGTAAGCACTTGCGAAAGCGTTCATGTAGAACACAAACGAGTTCCCTTCCATGCGAGACATGGCCAAGTTTAGACGTTAATAGAATAAAACAATATGTCCTTCTTTTGAACTCAAGACTGTAAAAATAAAAAATTTTTAAAGAACGATTAAAAGCACATAAAAGTACAAATTTCAATATTTAAAATGCTATTTTAATTCTCTGTTTACGATGATTTATTGCCTAGTTACAGCGATTTGAAAATTGTCTTTTGAGCGTCTGAAAAATGTTCCCTATTTTTTGTGAATTAATGTAATTGAATTTTACGAATTTTTAAATCGATGCTTTATCTGAATATCACACTATTCATACTTCAATACTTGAACACATTCCGATATCAGTAATGAAATCTATTATTTATTCTATTTTTCCATTTTCTCTCTTATTTTGTTCTTCAATTCTTCATATAAAGCATTTTGTTTTTCAAGAATAGCTGTCTGATGTGTTCGCTAGAAATTGCACTCGAAAAATGATTCGATCGAAAAATGATAATATACTGACATATACACAAAGAAGTCAATTTTCAAAACGGGACAATAAGAACTATCTTTGAAAATTCAGAAAGGGTCGTAACATAAAGAAGTAATTGCGCACTTATAGCCTAGCGCCAATTGCTGTTGCGTCTCTGCTGCGTCAAAAAGAATTTATAAGCAAGCTCCTGCAATTTGCTGAACGGCGAACGTTCACAAAGGAATTGCCTATAGTTCGCTATCTTAATATCTTGGAAAATGACGGATACGAAACATATTTGGCACAGTCGATACTACATGATACTTCGATTTTATTTGAGCTTATCGGGTATATGGCCATATCATAATCTTCGCAACCAATGCATACGTTTTGTGCCGATGCTTACGTTCTGCAGTGGTATTTTAATACCACAGGTATATGCATACTAAATATCAGAATTTGTTTTTACAGGAAAAATAATTTGATACAGGCTGTTATAGCGCTGTGAAACAATTGGTTATAAAATTACAGAGTTTTATTTTTTTTAACAATTTCTTTTCACAAGAACCTTTATGTAGTAATATCGTTACTTGCAAAATTGAGATAAAATATTTTGAAGTAGTTTTACACAATTTTTTAATTGGGTAAGAAAAAGAAGCAATCATATAAAAACAAACTTTTGTAATAATATAGTTATATATAAGAAAATTTTTTTAATTTTTAAAGCGTAAATAATTTTAAATTACGATATTGACCCCATTATAGCTATTCTATTTTTTCAACGGCCCAATTAGTCTTGATGACATATTCGAATGTGTACCACAAATATTTATTAGCAGCGTAATGGGCTTTAAATTATCGTACATAATGTTTAACATTGATAAAGTAAGTGATGAATTTGGCGTTTCATAGTTGAACTCTTAACTTTTAGCAGAGAAATTGTTAATGTAATAAAAAATATACGAGCATATATTTATAGGTAAAAATTTGTCTTAACATGATAGAAAAAGATTGGCTATCATTAAATGAAGCGGAAAAGGCTATCCTTGTACGACACACGGAATACGGACGGTATATAACAACGGTTTATGCAGGTATATGCGTTATAAAATCATAAAAAATCTTGTAAATGCACGTTTTTAGACGCTTATTTTTTTGTAACCAACCATTTAAAAAATGTTTTCAAAAATTCTCGTAAAAGAAATTTTTAAAAAATTTACAAAAACAATACATGCAGCAAAATAAAATGTTTCTAATTGTATAATGTTCTTCTAGTTTTCATGCATACGCTGGCATGCCTTTTCCTGCTTAAACCAATCATGCTGACAGTGCTGTCGGAAGATACTGTGAATGTAACAAAATCATCCATCACAACAGCATCAAAACTACCTTTTCGTGTAGAATACGGCAAGAGATTCGATCAATATCTGTATCCGATAACCATACACTGTTACGGTGCCATATTCGCTCATTCATTCGTTATAATTGCGACCGATGCCTTGTACAGTAGTTTGATCCAACACGCATGCGGAATGTTTTCAATTGTTGGGTAAGAATGATCCAATTATACAGACTGATGTTCATAGTAATGTCTTCTCTTTTTAACGGAATCGGTGGCTTCAAATGACTCTCGAAATACGGTTGATCAAAAGCGTCGTCTTTTTAGCGGCTTTGCAGATATGTGCTAGAAAATGTGGGCAAGAATGGCGACGTCAATTTTGATTTAAACTTAAAGAAAATAAAGGACGACAATTACATGAAAGTTTTAGACTGCTTACGTAGACACCTACATGTAATAGAGTGCGTGTAAAGAATATTATATTACGATTCTTTAAATATTCTTTCATAAATAATATCTATAAGTACCTAGGTATTAATTATAGTATATTTATAGTAGACGTTTGTTATAATTATGTACTACTTACACTCAGTGTGTCGCTATTTTGCAGATTCGCGGAACTAATCGAGTCTCTATACACGAAGATATTTTTGGTTAATGTTAATATAAACATGATCGGTGGTAGTCTAGCTGGTATACAAGTATATATATATATATATATACATATATGCATTAATTTCTAA